AAGAGCGGTGGGGATGGGAAGGCGCAGGTGGAGGTGGAGGACAGACACCACCTGCTTGTCAGCAGCCTTCTTTTAGGGTACTTTAATCTGGTTGTGAAAATGCATAATCAGCAGGACAATGGTCATCGTCTTTTTAAGGACTGTAAAGTTTCTCTAACCCCAGGGATCCTCCACTGCCATTTCACCACTCCTCTCTTTCTCCCAAACTGAGTTGGCCTCAGTGTCAGGATGCTGCGGCTGTGCTTGAGGCACAGGGTATGTACAGAGGAGGTTCAGGGCTGTGCTAGCACTTTCCTGAAGCTGGATTTATCCAGGGCTTTCCTCCCATGGCAGGGCTGGGAAAGAAGGAGGACAACAACCAGCCAGTCCTGCCGTATTGTCTTCTGCGGTATTCTTTTCTATTCTCAACTTCAAACGACGTTTGCTTTTGCACGCTAAGTTGCACTCCTTGCTAGGCTATGGAGACTTTAAAAGTGGCTGGCTTATGCCACATTATGCTTCAAACAAAACTCTTTTTTTTTTTTAGTTAAACCCATTCAGACATATTTAGTTTGGTAGGTGCTGGAAAATACAGAAATGATTCTAAACGTATTGCTTTCCTGACTTATCGTAATCTCAGAAATAAGTCTTTAAACCTCAAAAGCATTTTATAAAGTCTTTATAAAGAGCAACCATTTTCTCCGCAGATCCCTTTCTGTTTTTTGGGGAAATGGGAATGAAACACGAGTTGCGGGTTTCCCTTTTGTGAAATAACTTACTTGGGTTTGTTGCGCGTTCTTTTTATACAGAAAACAGGTGAGAATACGCTCTTTGGTTCCTTTTCACTAATGACCCATACGGGTTTCTCCAGAGAGCTTTGCAGGCTCACCTGGGAACCCTGCATTGCAAGCTCTGCTGAATACAGATTTCTTTTTTTACGTTTTTTTGACCTTGTTATGCTACACCTAAGTATACAAAGTTTAAGATGATCAGGGGAAGATCTTTCCTTTATAAAGAAGAGAATTTATAAAGGGTTTTATATATTTTATCTTAAATATTAATGGAGAGAACTGTTCCATTGGCTGCTCTTCATTATCCATGAATTCTGACAGCAGGTTTTGAGAGAGGCAGTGGGCGAAGTTTGTTTGTTATTTGGCAGAAAGTCAGGCATATTCTGCAGTTTCATATGAATGATATATGCTGAAAGTCAGTTAGCTTCCCAACCAACTCTGCTTGCTGTGCCTTAGCAACCACGAGGAAAAATCTGCTGCCACATGGAAACGGATTGGGATTCATGACGGCACTCCCTATACCCAGCCACCCTCAAACAACGGTAGCATTTCATCTACTAAACACAGCACCCCTATCTTATTTCTGCTTAAATCTCCCTATAATTTAGACAGTAGCAAGTGATGCCAAAAGTGAAAATTTGAAGGTGGCAAAGTGGTAAGCCAAATTGTGCAGTAATTTTCTTTCCGTTCCCCCACTCCTTGCCTGGCCTGACTAAGCACTGGGAATAAATGAGCATTTACTCCTGCAGAAATTGCTGCTGCCTTGTGTTGCAGGTTGAGGAGGCAGTGTCAGGCAGGTACAGCCCAGTTTTATACCAGGATTCATGTTCAGATCAGAGCTGGAGCAGAAAGTCTCTAATTATTATTGCTGCTTGCTTTTAGCAAGTCCAGCAAATCTTATTGAAGAAAGCCCCCCCCTCCTTGACTTCCATCAGTTGTAACAGTTGCTGTAGTTTCTATCATTATTATGACATTATCATTGTCATGGTTCGTCATGAGAGAAAGAAATCTGTCTAGGAAAAAAAAATAAATTTTTTTTTGGTATGTTCATGGAGTGGGAGAGAAGCCTGAGGGAAATTAAGTAACTACCCCAGGTGGATTTTTTTTTAATTTTTCCTGAGCCACAGTATTGATAGAATTAAATGATTAGTAAAGAGAGAAAAGCACAAACAGATGATTGTATTTGGGAGTGAATTTGGATTCAGCTTTATTTGTGATTCTTTTCTGTATGCTGTCTGTCATGGTTGGAACGTGAGAAGTTTCCAGCATGAATACTTGTGAAAGTGTATTTTAGGCTTGGATGCTTAAATGCTTGTTGGACATCTGTCTGAACATGTAATTTCCTTTGTGGTCACATTAACCAATTTAGGATTCAGGTGCTGAGTAGTGGCAGAAATCCCCCTGTCACGGAATAGCAACGATCTCATTACCAGGTAGTCTGTGCTACACCACGTGCATTTCAAACTGGGATGATTTTTTTTCAGGCTATTTATTTAGGGAATAAGCCCTGATAGAGCACAACACTGAAGCATTTGCTTAATTTTAAGTATACTGAGTAGTCCAATTTGGAATGCACAAGTGCGATACTGAATTCTTTAGGGATGTAGTGAGAGTGCCCTGAAACTCGGAACAATTGTTTTCTTATATTTGTACACAAAAATGTTCCTAGAACTGATTAGCGGTGCGGAGCTGATCATGAGCATGTTTGCAAATTAAGCCCTGATAAAACAGATAAATATTGATGAGTGTGTTGTAAACTGAAAACAGGTAAAGTTTGATTGTGCATTGCAAACTCTTAATGTGGCATTATGCTCAATTTTGGTAGCACAACCAGTTAAAAACCTAGTTATCTGAAAAACTTGCAGTGGAAGCTTAAACAATTTGCTGGGGGCAAAGAGCCTTGGTTCTGCCTTTTCTTGTTTCGTTTAGGTTTAATATAAACCCTGCTATAAAAGATTTAGAAAAAGGAATAATCTTGATTAATAAAAAAAATTTTCTTACTTATCTATTGTTACCAAAGCTTTTTTTTTTTTTTTTTCCTCCTTGCTAACTGCACTGGAATATCAGAAGCTCGTAGAAGAAGGGCAAAACATTTGCATCCCGTATTTGAAATTATTATTTTTCTACTATTTCTACATCCTCTTTTGTATTTCTAGTGCAGACAGGTTGCTGGCTGCTGCCACTGTACTAGACCCCAGCTGAGGACAGCACTTGAACTAGAGCTCCAAGCACTGTTGCTTTGTTTCTTTCTGAGCATGATGGTGATTAAATTGCTAGCAGATGTATGGAGCATTGCTGATGCTACTGCGACCGCAGTGCTGGCAGTGGCAGAAATGTGAGCAGTTGTTGGAACAGCTTGGGCAGGAGGCAAAACACAAGCAACTTGTAGGCGCGTCATCCTCTGAGGTTGACATGGGGCCAATGCCAAATCCCAGATCTAAGAACAAGGAGAAAATTCAACTGTATCTCCAAAAGGTATGACTGAAAACATGCTCTATAGTATCTTTAGCCCTTGATTAGAACATTGACCAGATTGTAGTAAATGCATAGGGAGTTGCTATAGTGGAGTCAGTTCAACACTCTGCTCAGTAAAGAACTAACTTGGCATCTCACAGCAAGGTAAGGCTTGATCTTTCCAATGGAGACCAAAATGTGCCTTCATTAGTACACTTTGCTTGTTGTGTAGTATGTTGTGGGGGAATTTCTTTCCAAACCTTTCAGAAATCAGTTTGTGCTCATATATAAAAAATATTACCATCAATATCTTTGCATGCCTAGCTTTAAATAATGGCAGAGATTCCCCACTTGTTTAAAAATAATTGTCCAGTTGAGGCAATACTAATTTAAACCCAGATACAGACCTTGCTTAGTAGTATCAGTCACTGAATTAGCTTCTGCTTGTAAAAGTCTAGCGGGAGTATTTGATTCTTTGCCTAATGATTCCATGAGCTGGTCATATGGATTGTAAAGAAGTATTTCCTTCTGGTTGTTTTAATTACTTGCCAGTCACTTTATTCTAATCCTCCTTCTTTAAGCACCATTGCTCTACTCCCCATGCTTCTAGTGATTTTAAATATAGCAGTAAACTCCTTTATAATTTTTCCCATTTTCAGACTAAATTATCCTTGGTGTGCACAAATTTGGATCCTAGCAGTCTTATTCCAAAACCTTCTCCTGGGCCACCTGTCCCAACTGTCTTCTCCTGTCACGTGCAAGTTGTGTCCCCAAGCTAGGATGCCATCCTCGTGCCACCTTCATACTTCACGTTCTTGATCGCCCAGCCCAAGGCACCAGCTCCCTGCCTCTTCCTTCCTGCATCCCCATCAGGGAAGCTGAAGCCTCCTGTGCACACCTACTCCTGTATGATGGGAGAGCCCTCCTGGAGGACATCCAGCGCTCTGGATCTGCTCTACCAATGGTCTCCTGTCCCAGGATCATACGTGCTTCTGCATCGCCGTCTCCTCCCTGACACATGGTTTGGCACAGCTTCTCCTTAAGCTGGTGAAGAGGCGCAGGGGGAAGCCAGGATGGCAGTGCCTGGACAGAGGCACTTGGCATGGGCTGCAATAGCTGTTCCAAGGTGGTTTTCATGAGAGATGAGTTGTTTGCTTGATGACTAATGAATTTTCTTTAAAAGCACATTCTGGCTCATTTTAAGAGTTATTTGCAAATTTATTTTGAATTGGGCTGTATGTGTCAAAATCATTTGGGAGGAGCAGCCTATATTTACCAAATAACTTCAGGGAGGAGTGGTGCTTCCCCCCACACAGCAGCCTGATGGCTGGGGTTTTCCAACAAAGCCTGGACCCCTGATCTGCCCCCTCTTCTTCCCCTCTCTGGAAGGAGAGTCCCAGTTTGTCCCTAACAGCTAAACTGGAGTCTGCTGAACAGAGGTGTGCTCAGTAGCACAAAATGAAGGGATTTTGTGCTAGCTAAATATTTATTGAGACAAGTTTAAAAAAAAAAAAAAAAAAAAAAAAAAAAAAGAAAAGGGGATCTAACTTGGTAGCTAGGGCATAAGTGCCTAAAATTTGATATGAATTTCAGTTTAATTGCAGTGAGTGTTTCAACATTACACAGGCTGCACTAGCATCAACAGGAAAGATAATTTTTTTTTCTATTCCAGAATGCCACTTCCACTTTTGTTTTATTTTCTCCTATGCAATATACATTTTCTTATATTTTTTTGGAAATTTCAGGTGGGTAGATTCTTGCATGGCATACATTAACGTACTCTCCTGGGCTTTTCAATGTTTCATGCTTGCTCCAAGATGATATGGGTTCAGGCTGCTGCTGGCAGAAGCCATTGTCCTGTCTTCTCTTCTCCCATTTTAGGGCTGTGAATTCCTTCTCTCTCCTCTGCACCAGAGCTAGCACTGTGTGGTTTGAAGGATAAGCTAGAAGATTTTTTTTTTAAACTCTCCTAGTTTTCAGCCTCAGTCACCTTTTCAGACTTCTTGGAAGTAATTCATAGCTCCAGCCATCATCTGACAGCTGGGTACTTGTCGAAGTGGGCAACGTGAGTTCAGTTTTCCTGAAGCAGGACTTAGACCTAGGTCTTCTGGCATCTGGAGAAAAGGGGATGTTGCCATCATGGCTATTTCATCTGTGCTTTTATAAACCTGCTCCTTCTTTTACTATGTGCATGCTATTGTGTGTGTGTAGTTAGTAAGTGCAGCCAAACAGAATGTTTTGTTTTGAATTGAAAGTTGACATTTTACTGCTTTGTGCTTTTTTCACTTTGTATGATGTAATTAGTGTCCACTGTGATGTGCTGCCTAAGCAAGACTAGTTGTCTTGGTGGCTGCGGCACTAATCCCTGGAGCACGGGGTATTTGGACATAGTGCCTGCTTTGAGAAGCTGAAGTGTAAAGGTGATGACTTCACCTGAAGGTCACCCAGAGGGAGCAACTGTGGCCCAAGATGAAATGTTACCGCGGAGGTGGCGTGCCCAGGGCACCCGGGGACTGTCCTGATCCTGGTCCGTGGGGTCCACACTGTTGCTGAGCTGACCGGGTCCTTGTTGTCTAACAGGGGATGTCTGCTTCAGCGTCCCTCTGTCCTTCCCCTC